CCCAGTTTGGACCAGTTCGGACCAGTTCATCCCAGGGACCAGTTAATCCCGTGCCCCCCCCTCCCAGTTCATCCCAGTTCGTCCCAGTTCGTACCAGTTTGCACCAGTTTGGACCTTCCAGGACCCCCCAGGACCCCCCCAGTGGCTCCCAGTTCGGACCAGTTTGGACCAGTTTGGACCAGTTTGGACCTTCCAGGACCCACCCAGGACCCTCCCAGTTCATCCCAGTTTGCACCAGTTCATCCCAGTGATCTCCGAGGACCCTCCCAGTTCATCCCAGTTTGGACCAGTTTGGATCTTCCGGGACCCTCCCAGGACCGGCCAGGACCCCCCCCAGACCCTCCCAGTTTATCCCAGTATAACCCAGTTCCTCCCAGTCTCTCCCAGTAACCCCAACCCCCAAACCAGTATAAACCAGTAACCCCAAACCAGTATAAACCAGTAACTCCAAACCCCAAACCAGTCCCTCCCAGTTCATCCCAGTACCTCCCAGTCCCCTCCCAGTCCCTCCCAGTATAAACCAGTAACCCCAAATCCCCTTTTTAACCCCTCCCAGTTTGCCCCAGTCCCTCCCAATCCCTTCCCAGTATAAACCAGTAACCCCAAACCCCCTCCCAGTCCCTCCCAGTCCCTCCCAGTAACCCCAAACTCCAAACCAGTATAAACCAGTATAAACCAGTACCTCCCAATTCCCTCCCAGTAACCCCGAACCCCCTCCAGTCCCTCCAGCTCCTGGCCCGTGACACCCTCTCCTTCTTCTCCCCTCCCCCCGGCGCCGCCGCCGGCACCGGCGCCGCCGGCACCACCTCGCGCCGCTTCGCCGCCGCCTTCTCCGCCCTCCTCCGCCACGGCCGCCATCTTGGCCCCGCCCTGGCCCACCTGGCCCGGCTGGCGCCCGGCTTCGACCTGGACGAGGCCACGCCCGGCAACGGCTACCGCAGCCTCCTCGAGGTGGTCCGAATCTGCCTGGAGCGCGCCGTGGAGCGCAGCCGCCACGTGGCCGCGCACCGCCGCAGCCTCTTCTTCCGCGCCGGCGCCAACGCCGCCGAGGTGGAGGCGGTGGCGGCGGCGCTGGGGCAGCTGCGGGCCCTGGTGGTGCTGGCGGCCAAGATGGCGGCGATGGCCGAGCCCGGGTGTCTGTTCCCCGACGGGGAGAAGGTCAGGAAGGACCTGGAGGAGGAGGAGGAGGAGGAGGAGGGGGAGGAAGGCATCAGCGAGGTGGTGCTGCGGGAGTACAGCACGATGCACAACGGCTGCTTCTACGGCCGCTGCTTGGGCTTCCAGGTGAGCATTTTTTGGGATTTTGGGAGGTTTTTGGGATTTTCTGGGAGTTTTGGATTGGTTGGATTGGTTGGTCTTGGGTTTGTTGACCGTTGGTTGGTTGGTCTTGGCTTGGTTGGTCTTTGTTGACCATTGGTTGGTTGTTCTTGGTTTCGTTGACCATTGGTTGGTTGTTCTTGGCTTGGTTGATCTTCATTGACCATTGGAGTCATTGATCTTGGCTCCATTGACCATTGGTTGGTTGTTCTTGGCTTGGTTGATCTTTATTGACCATTGGTTGATCAATCTTGGCTCTGTTGACCATTGGTTGGTTGGTCTTGGCTTGGTTGATCTTCATTGACCATTGGTTGGTTTATCTTGGCTCCATTGACCATTGGTTGCTTGGTCTTGGCTTGGTTGACCTTTGTTGACCATTGGTTGGTCGGTCTTGGCTCCATTGACCATTGGTTGCTCTTGACCCCATTGACCGTTGCTTGGTCAATCTCGGCTGGGTTGCGGCGCTGGCGGCCAAGATGGCGGCGATGGCCGAGCCCGGGTGTCTGTTCCCCGACGGGGAGAAGGTCAGGAAGGACCTGGAGGAGGAGGAGGAGGAGGAGGAGGAGGAGGGGGAGGAAGGCATCAGCGAGGTGGTGCTGCGGGAGTACAGCACGATGCACAACGGCTGCTTCTACGGCCGCTGCTTGGGCTTCCAGGTGAGGAATTCGGGAATTTCCTGGAATTTTGGGGATTTTCTGGGAGTTTTGGAATGGTTGGATTGGTTGATCTTGACTCCATTGACCATTGGTTGGTCTTGGCTTCTTTGACCATTGGGTTGGTTTTGTTGACCACTGGGTTGATCTTGATCTCGTTGACCATGGGTTGGTCAATCTTGACCTCGTTGACCCTTGGTTGACCTCGTTGACCGTTAGTTGGTCAATCTTGACCTCATTGACCATGGGTTGGCCAATCTTGACCTTGGTTGACCTTGGTTGACCTCACGTTGACCATTGGTTGGTTGCTCTTGACTTGGTTGATCTTCATTGACCATTGGTTGGTTGGTCTTGACTCCATTGACCATTGGTTGGTTGCTCTTGGCTTGGTTGGTCTTCGTTGACCATTGGGTTGATTGATCTTGACTCCATTGACCATTGGTTGGTCACCCTTGGCTCCGTTGACCATTGGTTGGTTGGTCTTGGCTTGGTTGACCTTTGTTGACCATTGGTTGGTTGTTCTCGGCTCCGTTGACCATTGCTTGGTTGGTCTTGGCT